GTGTAACTACTTCTACTTCAGTCTTCGATTTTAATTAATAGCAATTTTGATGATTTTATTAGGTTTGAGACAATTTTTGAGGAACAAGGAAAACTTTGTAATTATTGATTACCCATGTTTTGGTAAGGTTCATGTCTTAGACATGGGCAATCATTTCAGATCTTATTCTTATATTAGCTTGTCTAATTGGCATTCAATTCAAATCAACTGTTATTAATATAAGTCAATGACTATGTAAATGTTTGAAATAACATACAATGCTATCTGGTAATTTCATTCTTGTAAGTCAGTTCGTTAAATGTTATATTAACAAAATGAACAAACTTACAGCCTTACAGGACAAATGAAATTACCACACTCCACAGTTTTTCTTGTTAATTTAAAAATATCAAAGACATAAATAGATAACAAAGTAATAAAATAACATTTTTATTTCATTTAACAATTGAAAGTACAACAATAAATTAGTGAAACAAAAAATAAATATTTTGATATTTCATCTGTACAGTAGCACCTTGAAATGGAATGTACAACTATCCTTTTTAAAGTTAGTTCTTATTTTTATTTTTGGATTAAACTTCAATATTTTAAACAGTAATTAACATTGGTTCATTAATGAAAAACAAAGTCCATAAACACTTTCTAATCAGTTTTACATAAAATATGTGGCAGAACGTGATAAAAGGTGTGGTTTTACTACAAATTATAACACATTACCAGGAACAATATTTTTTTTCCAGACAAATTTAACCATTATTGAATTATTTCTATTAAAATTTCCAGGTAATAAGCCCTATCAGACATAATTATTTTTAATCTTTAATTTGATGCAACTTTATAAATAGTTGATTGACATTAGAAAATAAAGTGTGGGATTAAGTCTTTACATAATTGCTGATGAATTATATTTTAATAATAATATTACTATGTTTTCATCATCACCATGAACAAAAATTTTTTTTTTCTTACAATGTTTAATTATTTACGGAATCAGAAAAGAAAGAAACATTTAAAAAATTTTAAATTAAAAAAATATTATGATTACTGACTGTATATTAACCATAGATGTATGATAACCAACAATCATGCATTTTTTATAAGTGATGTTTCAGAATTAAACGCATGGGAAATTTGAGGCACTTTTTTAAGACCCTGACCAACTTTAAACAAAAATGTTCACTTACTTATCATTCTTACAAACATATGAGGAAAATGCAACCCCAAATATTTATTTAATTTGAGTTCTTCCCATACCTCCACCTGATAAATTTTGGAACAGCCCTAAAACTAAAATGGCTAGTGTTTAATGCTTATCTGTTACAACATGTACAAATTCTTCAAAGTCATTTTTGTTGAAGAATAGGTGTGAACAATAAATTTAATGCCTTCTTTTTTAAAAAATTTTGCACAATAATTAAAGGGACTTGTTGGAAAATGAATGAAAAGAAATGTATCACCAAGCAGAAAAGGATAGATGTGATCAATCCTTATAATTTTGTTATAAAACAAAAAGTCCTTGGAAGATACTTTTAAAAGCTGGCAAACTTTATGTGACCTTGTAGCTATATCAGAATGTGTCAGCTAATTTGAATATATTATTTCTGCCAAAACCAAATAAATAAATTTGGCATTTTTGCCGAGACAAGACAGGTCAGTTGATTTATTATTTCAGTTCTAGACTTAGTTTTTGTACCCATTATTGGTATTGTTGAAATTCTAAGTTAGAATGATGTTACCGTTAAGGATGATGGAGAAGATGGACAAAGTGTCAAGGATTCTTTTCTTTTCAGCTTTAATATGTAAGGCTGATATCTATAAAAGGATAAAAAAATATCAGTTATGTACAAGTAATCAGTAAAAATAAATCCAGTGACCCCAACCCACAATAATTTCATCTATTTTTGTTTACATGAATAAAATTTATCAATTTTAAACAAGATTCTGTGGACTTTTTTTTATGGAATCACACTTTGAGGTGGATTAATGTATCTTTTTACAAACATTCTAATCATTGATAGGCCTTCACAAATCTTTATTCATCTGTTTCTTTGAAAATATAAATGTTACTTATATATATTTTTTAGATATTCAGATGTAGTTCAATGAATTCAAAATGCATACAGAATTTCATTTAAATCAGAAATATTGCCTAATTACATATACTTTTCCTGAAAAAAATACTAATGCCTGTAAGTAATAGTTTCTAACTCAAAATTAAAATTAAAAGCTACATACTAATAAACTGCTTCGCTGAGCGCAGCTAGATACGCCAGCAGAGGTCCAACCCTGAACAGTTGGGGCAAAAATGGACACAATATTCAAGCTTGATTCAGGTCTGAATTTGGTTTGTTATTAAATATTTGACATATTATAGGTTTCTGAATAAATGTATTCAAAGAACTAGAAATTGGTTATATGAATTGAATTTATGTTCAATTAAAGATTTCTTGCTGTTGTGCAATACTTAGTAAATCTGTTGTCAAACTATAAAAAAATAAAGTTCAATTAATTCTCAATCTCATATTAGAAATTAATGAAAATATAAAGGGAGCTTACATCAATAGATATAAACAATTCACTAAAGTTTCATGAGAATTGGTGACAGCATTTTTGAGTTATTGTCCGAAAACTGGAAAATCCCCCCTTTTTTTAATGAATAAAACCCCATAACTCAGAAATGTAAATTGTAAAATTTATAAAATTCTAAAGGGAGCTTACATCACTACATACAAACAATTCACCAAAGTTTCATAAGAATTGCTGAAAGCATTTTTGAGTTTTTGTCTGAAAACTGGAAAATCCCCCCTTTTTTAATGAATAAAACCCTGTAACTCCGAAACGTAAAATCTAAAATTTATAAAAATCGAAAGGGAGCTCATGTCAATAGATATAAACAATTCACCACAATTTCTTGCAAGTTGGTGAAAGAATTCTTGACTTATTGTCCGAAAACTGGAAAATCCCCCTTTTTTTTAATGAATAAAACCCCATAACTCGGAAACGTAAAATCTAAATTTTATAAAAAACGAAAGGGAGCTCACATCAATAGATATAAACAATTCACCAAAGTTTTATGCAAATTTGTTAAAGCATTTTTGAGTTAATGTCCGACATGTTGACTACGGACGGACAGACGGACGGACAGACGGACGGACAACGGTATACCATAATACGACCCGTTAACGGGCGTATAAAAACAGGCACCATAAAAGAGAAAGTACCTAAAACTTGTATGATAAAATATTAAAAGTACAGACAAGGATACTTAAAAGATAGGGCATAAAAAAAGTTGCTGAAGCTTTAAGTTTAAACTTTTAAAGCTCTCTATTTTAAGTCATATATAATATGTAAGATAAAGTCATAAATAATGATAAATAAAAATCTAATCACATGAGAATGGGACTAACAAATACTTAACTACCTAAGTATTCATGTTGCAATTTTTTTTAGAATATACCACAATTGAAATCAGACATGAATAGTTTTTTCACAGGCTTTATATTCAGGATTATATATCTTTATTTTACACTGATTTATTTCTATTTTAGATTGGTGGGATAACACAAAACTGCATATTCAACTGGTATAAATGCTTATGTCGCTATATAACATGATAGCATTAACTATGCAACATAAAAACCAAATTTATATAACAGGTTAAGGATGTAGTCAGGTGAAATTTTAAAAAATCAAGAATTTAAATTTGATGCTATTAATCAAAAGAGCATTAGTTAAGGAACAAAATAAGCTAAAAATATTGATAGATTATGGAACTCTTTTTTGAGATATTTGATTTAAAAAAAAATGGTGAGAAAAAGCTGACTCCAACTTTTACCTATATATAGCATTGACATTATTTGGGTCTCAAATCTTAAGAAAAGAAATCTAGAATCTGCTTAAATTTTGGCAATCACCTTTTATGAGCTATTGGAAGTATTCCTTGAAAAGAAAAGTGCGTGGGGCTAAATATTTTCACTATCTTAGGAAAAACCAAAGGAGTTTTCACTATCGTAGGAAAAACCAAAGGAGTCCGAACAGCTGACAAAAATTCCTAAACCAGAACTGACCACATCCTTAAACATGTTGTTCAGAATAGTATCTAATTTATTTTAACCAATTCTGACCAATTTCTTAATAATATTCATGTTGTATGAATATAACTACTTCACAAAGTACAAAAGATAGATAAATAATTATTATTTTTAACCCTGTATATTCCATAAATTATCTACCATTTTTTACAAGTGAAACAATCAACAATAAAACTTTCTGTATTTAGGTAGATCAGGTGTCTCCCGCCTTCTTGAAATGTAAAATACAATCACTCTAGATCTTAATTAAATCTACAAATTTTGAGAGAGGAATGTAATTCTTTTGTGTTACTTTTTATTGTTCATCTAAATTAAGAAAATCATGTGTCTTATCTTACTATTACAACTGTTTATGAAAGATACACAACATTTTTTGTATGATTCAATTCTTTGTAACTTTGCAATCTAAGAGATAACTAAGATAATCTTACTTTTATAAAGGAAATTATAGGGAATTCATCTCTTGTTTTGTCCCAAGAAAACGATTTCTGTTACCCCAATTTTTATTTTTTTTTTCTAAAACCACATTTTAAGAATTATTCTCATATTTCATTGTTTAGTTTCCTTTCTATCACACAAAATTGGGTTTCCCATGTACATTATGTATAATCTTTACAAAACCTGAAAATTTTTGACAACCTGTAGCTTGAAAAAAAACATCTGTGACACATACTTTTTAATGTATTTTTAAAAAAGCATGATATAAACTTTTTAAATTCTACCAACCTTAATTAAGACCCCTAATCTACCTTATATACAACAATAGGCATCCTTATTGGTATAAATATACTATAAAATTCTTATCACAGTAATATATGGCAAAGCTGTATACAACGATTACATAAGGAAATTAAGACAAAACTATCATAATATGATTAAACAGTATTCAGTATGCTAAAATCAAAAAGCAAAAAGCAAACCCTAATCAACCCTCTCATCTTTATAACTGAAATACAGTTTTTAAGCATGCTGTTCAGCCAAAAGAAACTGACATACATTTTTTATATAGAGGCTTAAATTCAATCTGTTCTTTTCAGTTTACTTCATTTGATGGTGCAATATCCAGTATTTGGAAATCAGAGTTTTGCTACGCAAAGACTTTTTTACTGAGGCTTTGATTAATTAAGGAAATAAGTATAAAAGACCTGCAGAAATTATTGAGAAAAGGGACATAATTTTAAATTGCAAGAGTTTTACATACAAAATATACTGTTTACCTGCTAAACCTTACCTTAATTTCTGTAGCAACATTTCAAAATAATACAAGGAGTTGGTTGTTCCAGAAATAGATATACGATTTTTAGTAAATATTTGAACTACAAATTAAGGTTATATACCTTTTTCACCAATGAATGGTATTTTTATCTATAATGCTGTCAGAGCACAATTGGATTGTTTTTAAATACATTGCTATAGAAATAACAATATTTAGCAATGGTTTTTACAATTGACATTTGTGAGCACTGTAAAAAAAATTGCTAGTTATAATAGTTAACACTTCATGTACTAGGAATATCTAAATGTAAATTGGTCAGTTTTTCATTTTTGGTCAGCTTTCAACCTATCAATTTCAAAGAAAAGTTATAATTGTGATTCTGAAAAAACAATATTTTTCAATATGTTCTACTGACATCAATTACAATTAAAGTTTACAATTCAATTCTTTGTTTTACTATTTTCCTTTTTTAATAAAAAATGAGAAAGATAAGACATAAACGTTAATATTTTAAAATAGATTCAAATCACTATTTCTTCAATTAAAGCACCATGATGATTAATGTTTCAATTAATGAACACCCATAATCAGTATCCCTGAACATCAAAATAATTTTAAAAGATGTCTAAACAATAGAATGCTCAGCCCCAGACCGAGCAGACTTCACCCATTTCAGTCTATCATTCTTCAGTGTAAATCGAGACCAAATAAACAGCTGTAATGAGGCACATACGATTGGTACATAAACAAGCATGTTAAAGATTCCATGTCTTTGCTGATCTAGAAATGTTGGGTTTGGACTGGTTATTTCTGCATTCAGACCACTAACACTACTTCCTTGTTGAAAAATTTCATGACCTAAAACAGAAATAAACTTATTTGATCTTATTACTACAGCTTAACACTCTTTCATTATTGGCAGCCTATGATTAATATATTTAAAAATATGGAGATGTGGTATGAGTGCCTATGAGAAAAGATGAGTTTGAACTGCAATTTTCTATTGTTAAAGATTGCATGTTGACCTTTAGATGTATTATGGATTTTTGGGGGAAAGATTGGGTTCATGCAATCAAAACCCTTATGTGGTTGGCTTGATAGTTAACAAACTTGCAATAGGACAAGGGGTTAAATTCATGTACTGTAGTTCACATCTAAATTGTGTAAGTTGGCAGGTATGGAAAATATACAGAAATAATGAAAATTTTGGATAAGAATATAAGAATGTTTGTGTTATGCTTATTTTGTACATGATCTAATCAGTCACAAACTTGTTTTATTTGTGTTACCCTTTTATTGTTCATTTGAAAAGATTTTCTAAAGAACATTATACATTATATTAATGTATCAAAAATGTCTTTTAGTCTTTTGAGTCTTATTGATGTATATCTAACATCTTTTATTCTTACTTTCACAAAATAAAGTTTGACTTCTGCTTAAAGAGCAAGCTTATCCAAAATTTTCATCATTTCTGTATATTTTCCATACCTGCCAACTAACACAATTTAGATGTGAACTACAGTACATGAATTTAACCCCTTGTCCTATTGCAAGTTTGTTAACTATCAAGCCAACCACATAAGGGTTTTGATTGCATGAACCCAATCTTTCCCCCAAAAATCCATAATACATCTAAAGGTCAACATGCAATCTTTAACAATAGAAAATTGCAGTTCAAACTCATTGAAAAGTCGGAAAAAGTTCTTAAACAATTTCAAGACCATATTCCTCAAATAACAGGAAAATATTATGATATAACAAAAGAAAGCATGGACAAGGTCACTGATTTATTTGTTTTCAGTTGTAAATATACAACTAACTTTAGCTTGTTTATGTGAGTAGCTTTCTTTTAATATTTCCAAGCCTTTTTTCAAACAAGTGAAACTAATTGTGTGATTTAACAAGATAAAAATGTAAAAAAAACATTTGTGTTTAATCTTTTTTAACACATGTGTAATTATAATATTAAATGGAAATAAGATTACCTGTTTGTAAAGCTAACAGCCATGTACCAAGCAATGGAGCAAATGTCTGTCCTGGTTTAGAGACGAGTGCAGCTGTACCAAACATTAACGCTGACACAGCCTTCTTACGTTTATGTATGACAAAATCTTCATCAACTAAATCACTGATGACAAGATTTAATAATTTACACGTTCCTTCTGTGAACACTCTGTTACTGTAATAGAACAGTTCAAACGTTATTACTGTAAACCAGCTTACTTTCACAGATACTTATTTTGCCTTTTTCTGCTGACTTCGCGGTGATTTATTTTCGTGGTTTTCTAATTTTCTCGATCATGAGATTTTTTATATAAGGAAAGGCCCAAGTGTTACATATTCCCTCCAATTTAAATTCATTAGTTGTTTTACGGTATTTCAGAGGTATAATAACAATGAATGATCAAGAAAAGAAATCAAAACAAGGCAAATGATGAGTTTATCATGTTCAAGATAACTTACAAAATGCATTGTACAATGCAAAAGTAAATCTTAATAGTGATCAGTATATTTTTACATTTTTGTTTGTCATTTTTTGACAAAATACACATTAAACTTATCCAGGGAAGTAAGAAACTGCAAAACATAATCACGTCATTGATTAACAAGAATGTATCCATAGTACACGGATGCCCCACTCGCACTATCATTTTTTTATGTCCAGTGGACCGGGGTCAAAACTTTAATTTGGCATTAAAATTAGAAAGATCATATCATAGGGAACATGTGTACTAAGTTTCAAGTTGATTGGACTTCAACTTAATCAAAAACTACCTTGACCAAAAACTTTAACCTGAAGCAGGACAGACAAACGAACGAATGAACAGACGCACAGACCGAAAAACATAATGCCCCCAGGTGGGACATAAAAATGTTTGTGATTTGAACAATCATGTTTGTGATTGTTACTTAAATATATTGATCCACATCTTCCAGAGATACATATAGATTCTACCACTGCATCGAGTGTGATACGATATTTATCCACTCGAGACAGTTAAATTTTCAAATTTAAAACGTGAGGTGTTTTAAATATTTAAAATTTAGCTGTTGAGACTGGATAAATTTCGTATTACAGGAGATTTTGTGGTGGAATCTGTTTCTCTAATGATTTTCAAACAATATGCAGGCAAACTTATTCCTTCTTTTTGAATGATCTGCAAAAAGATGTGTTCTTTCTATGTGACGTCATCAGGCATGGTCGCTTTATTTCATGCCGTCACAATAGGAAATTCAGAGGAAAGCTAGAAAATTCGACGTCATAATCGGATTTTAACCAATGAAGAACTGAGATCAAACGAACCACACGTTGATTAATTTTTTTTTATACAATGGGTGCAGAAAGGGATAAATTGACGAAGAATTAGAGAAATACTATTCTCATATCGATTTCATCATAGGCTATATTTTTCCCTGACTTTTTGGAAAGACAGGCCACACTGGTAGAACAATCATATAAAGGTATATTGTCAATTAGTCTGCTGAAAACATTTTTTCCCAATGGGAATATTTGATAGGTGTGAAACATTTTGACAAAGCGAAAAAAATTTACATTGTTTATTATACTTTCAGAAAGTAGATTTAGTTCAAGCCATGAACAGAGTAAATTTATATAAATTAATGTTTTTCAATGTATGGTCCACAGAAATTTGACTCATGAGAAATTTCAAAACATCGAAAATTGATTGAAAAGCAAAATATGTCTTAAATAATGTGATAATTTCTACAAACCTAGCTACAAACAGGCATAGTAACCATATATTTTTTGGTCCTGCTACAAACATAACAATACTGATCAACAGTTTGACAAAAAACAGCAGATTTATCACATTGTAGACTCCAAATCGTCTACACAGAGACAGGAAATATAAATTGTTGATATGTGGTGCTAAAAAGGATATTCCTGAAATGAGAAGAAATAAATACTGCAAACACAGAAATAAATAAATCATCTTCCAAAATTAAATACAATTCACGCACTTCTACACAAGCTTAGAAAATTCCCAAAATAAAATCAGGATGATGGTAGATCTAAGCATAGCATATTCAGAAATAGAAACAATCACCAAAATTTCTTAGAGAACAGGCTATCTGCAATCATATGAGGTTGTGGATGGGGTTAACAGTATAGTGAAAATGGGCAAAATGTGCAGAATAACCTGTCCAAACATTACTAGAGAAAAATAGGCAAAAAAAACGATGGACCCCCCTTATATGATCTGAACTCAGTTATGGAGGAACAAACTGTTGCAAGTCCTGATAAACTAGTTGACAATCTTTTTTCCTAGCTCATTTTCATCATTTAATTTCTCTTTATTTCAATCGGAGTTTGCATTGCTAGAGCTTTAGTTTTCAGTGTAACCTATTGTTCAGGTAAAATAAATAAAAATATGATGTCATTTCATTTTTGTTATAATTCTTTGGAGAGAACTCACTAAGACCATGAGTCTTTGACTCATCAATGCCTAAGCTTGAGAATGAAAAGACACATAAGGTTAAAATCTAGTTCAGTCATTATTTTATCGTAGGAAATAAAAAATTAATTTAAATATGATTTTTTTCAGCATAAGCCTTATTTTATAAATAAAGAAGGCATGAATACTGGTTATCTTTAAAACTTTAGCTTGACTATATTGCAGAGGACTGCAATCCCTGACCTGACCCCCCCCCCCCCCCCCCAAATAAAACTTATTGAAATTTAGCTGAGATTAAATTAATTCTGAGTGATATGAACGCATTACAATGTGCAAGAACATATACTATTTAAGTTCCAATAAAGGAATCTAACTGCTTTGGTTTTTTCAAAGTTTCCAATGTAGCTGAAGCCTAAGATTGTGTTGCAAGCTAATTTAGTTCTAAGAAATTCAATATTATAACCTACAGCCATCCTCTTGTTTGTTTACATACCTATAAGAAAAGCTCCCAAACCAGTACTATAACCACCTAATAGGTTCTCTAGGAACAGTGGGAAAAAATTGCTGTTGAAATGACAATGGAAAACCTGCAAAAAAATAAATCAAACACCTGTAATTATTGAATGTTACCATTTCTGAAAATATAAAACAAATGTTAAAGGAATGATCTATTAAATACTGTAGTATATAATTTCAAAAATACATAACCATTTTTATTTAGTACAGTCTATATAAAATTACTCCTTTAAAGCAATTGTTTTTATAACTGTATATTCCAAGACAAACATGGACATCTATCTTTTGCAATGTCAACAACAATGCCTTGGCAACACCCATTGTTGTATGATGTCAGAAAAGTGAAATAAGCAGATTTATTTCACATGTGAATTTATAGGGTTTTATTTCACTGGGAAATCAGTAATTCATTGCAACCAATGTCAGACATGGGGTCAATTACTTTTGAAAGTAATTAATTACATTCAATTACAATAACAAAATCATCAATTAAATTACACATTACATTTGACTTTTTTTACCAATTTTTTACCAATGTAATTAATTACATTCCAATTACTTGGCAAATGTAATTAATTACTTCAATTACTTTTGGTCCAATGTCATGAAATCAACAATGTAACAAAAAAATTTATCAATGCAATACTAATCCTGTCCATTGTTAAAACAACACAATAATTTCTGAATTTTCTGAATTTCAAAATTAATTTTATATAAGGTAAGCATGTTTTGTTTGATAGTTCATGTTGAATGAAGATATCATAAAACAGATGATTACTGGCTGAAACATCATGATCATTTTATTGTAAGATGAAAAATGAATTAACACAAATATACGTTTAAAGCACTAGGCAATCTTTTCTATGTCTCAAATACATAATAGAATGTATGATAAATTTGCTGTTCAAATATTTCATTTGTGATTTTGGCAAAGTTTGGTTAAATTTGGCCCAGTAGTTTCAGAGGAGAAGATTTTTGTAAAAGTTAACGACAGATGACAACGATGGACGCCAAGTGATGAGAAAAGCTCACTTGGCCTTTTTGGCTAGGTGAGCTAAAAATGGTCAGCAAAAAAAAATAATAGAGAAAAATAAAAAATAGAGAAATGATGGGGTGCTAAAATATAAAGAATGGAGAATAATGGGCAAATCTATAAAGAATATAGAAAATTGTTAAGAAAATTAAGAATACAGAATTGAAAACACCCCCTTCTAGACCCTCATAACATATTTCAATTGAAAATCTGTACCTGTATTAGATTCATCACAGAAAAATATTTAAAATTCTTGTGTTTCATAAGCTGTTTGACAAAGACTAAAACAGACTTGCTTTGAGGTAATGCTGCTGCTTCTGGTCTGAAAAAAAATATATATTCTTAAACATGTTAGATGAAAAAATTAATAACCTGACAAATCAAAACTGATTCATTGATGGTTGCTGAACATCAAGTGGTAAATTCTCCATACATTATAATTTGACTGGAAAATTAACCTGAAGGGTCACTCTTATTATCCCAACGAAAAATGCAATTTTTCTGCATTCATGCATAAAAAAGTAAACATTTTTTTTTAATTCATTTGGTCCTGCAATTACTGGTTTCTAGTGTATAAGTCTTGTGAATTGATTTTTTTTTTTATCATATATTAACTACCAATATTTATTCATGACTAGAATAATAGAAGGTCAAATAAGAACTTCAGGTTATATCTTTGCTTTTAAAAATGTACATTTATCAATATGTGTTATGCATGTTAAGTGTCTATCATTAACAATAAAAACATAAAATTTAAGCATTTGCTAATTTAAAAGCTTGGATCTATTTACAATGTACCTTTCATTAGGCTCTGTCTTTCTGGTTGTCATCGTATGTACATGATGTACTTTGGCATAAGACTGTTTCATTGCACTGGCCATCACAGTAAATCCAAGTAAGGAAACAACAGATATACATACACAATAGATCCTGAAGGAGGTAAAATTAGATTTGTCCCATAAAATGTAGGACAAGAACACAGATGCTGACCCTAGAGCGCTGAATAATGAACTCTTGGCATTTAACTTAGTCCGTGCTTCTGACGATATTGCAAGATCGGCAAGTAAAGCTGAGTGATGGAGATCAATCATGGTTAAAAATGTGTCATACAAACATAAACAAACAATAAACTGTAACCATGGATATCCCCATGGAAACCAAAACATTAAAAATGTCAACGTAAACAAGGGACCATTTATAGATAGTTTATTTAGCCGTTGCATAACAATGTCTTGACTTGTGGAAACAGAATTGCTGAGATATTTACTATCGCTGAGCCAACCAAATAGTGGATCATTAAATGAATTCCAAATCAGGAAAACTGTTTCACCAATCCAAAATGAGGTTTTGTCGATTTTGTAAACTGTAACAAACATATCAACGTGATATAATAGAAAAACATTATGTAAAATTGTTAAGAACAAGGACATAGACCCGTAACAGAGGTCCATAGGAATCAGTAGCTTTATACCCATTTTTTATTATTGTGCTTCTTCTGGTTTCTTTTGATTTTACTTGAATACTAAGTTCTGTATAGCAGAATTGGTGTACTGTATTCAGGTTTTGTTGGAATCACTAGTAAATAGCATCACAAAAGTTTAGTGTCAGCTCCTATGAACTTGTATGCAAATAGTTCTTGTTTGAATATATATATGAGATGTTTCAAGTCAAATCCATATTGAGTATAAATTGTCACATGTCTACAGTTCTTCATTTGTAATATGTGCTGAAAAAGACAAGGATAAAATTAAATATTACCAGGGTTTTTGTACATTTATCTGTAATGCACATGTACCTACATGTATATAGATAAGTGCCTATAAATAGCAACACATAACATACAAATCTATTTGAGTGTGGATTAATCAGTACAAAGATTAATTCAATTTCAATTATACACATAAATTATAAATTGCCTATAAATGTAATTTTAACACACTACTAAGTATGTAATTATTAAAATATTGCAAATATTTACAATGCGATAAAAAAATAAACGCAATATTTCGCTAGACAAACTAGCTACACTTGGCTTGTATCTATACAGGTGAAATCAGATGCAGATAAGAAACTTTTGCAGCTCATTACTACATGTACAATGCATGTATCATCACAAGAGTGCACATGTTAAAATGTCTCGCCTACTATACTGACCACTGATTTTGTGTTGATAGTCCTAAATATAAAGTTTTACTACATGTTGTACAAGCATCACATTAACATTTATGATCAAAGAAAATGAGGTCAACATGGTCAAGGTCAGATAAACCAAGCCAGAAATACATGTACACCTTTAATACAATTATTCCATACACCGAATAAAGATGACCGATTGCTTATAGTTATACTATAAAAGAAACAGACCAAACCATGGAAATTATATATTGACCAATGAACCATGAAAATGAGGTCAAGGTCAGATGAACCCTGACAGACAGACATGTACACCTTCATTCCATGCATCAAATATAGTTCACCTATTGCTTACAGTACCTAAGAAACAAAGTTCACCAGGAAAACTGAACATTGACCAATGAACCATGAAAATGAGGCGAAGGTCAGATGATACCTGCCAGACAGACATATACACCTTATAATCATTCCATACACCAAATATAGTTGACCTATTGCTTAAAGTTTAAGGAAAAACAGACCAAGACACAAAAACTTAACATTGAGCAATGAACCATGAAAATGAGGTCAAGGTCAAATAAAACCTGCCAGACTGACATGTTCATCGATACCGTAAAGTATTTCCATACACCAAATATAGTTGACCTATTGCATACAGTATTAAAAAATAAATAAATGTGGATAGTGTCCACATGTGGACACAGATGATGCCCCCGCTTGCATATCATATAGTTATAAAGGGACATAACTGAAGAACAGTAAAAGAGACGCTACTCAAATTTGAACTTGATCTGAGTTTTGTGGTAATAAGCATTGTGTGTAAGTCTCATAACATTTGGTAGAGGCTAACTTAAGTAGAGAACAGAAACTAAAAATTCAGCAATTTTTCTATTTGTTAACATGCATAACTCTAGAACGGTTGTGTATAAGTTTCATCACATTTGGTTGAGACAAACTAAAGTTACAGAACGGAAACGAAAAATTCAGCAATTTTTATGTTTATAAATGGACATAACTCAAGAATGGTAAAAGTGTCGCCACCAAATTTCGTACTTAATCTGTATCTGTAGTAATAAGCATTGTGTATAAGTTTCATAACATTTGGTTGAGGTAAAATAAAGTTAGAAAACAGAAACAAAAAATTTGTATTTGATCTTAGTTTTGTGGTAATGAATATTGTTTATAGGTTTCATAATGTTTGGTTGGGGCCAACTTAAGTTACAGAATGGAAACTAAAAATTTTGCAATCTTTCGATTTATAAAGGGGCATAACTCAATAATGGTTAAAGTGACACTACCCAAATTCAACTTGATCTGTGTTATATCAGTGGAAGTCAAAATTAAACATTGCATTGTATAAAGCATTGATTGAAGTTGATTCAACAATCATCATGGACAAAGGAAGATAACTCCAATTTTAAAAATTACTTGATATTTAGAAGGAAATAAAGAAATAGAGAACGGAAACCAATTTTGGGGTGTATGGACGTACGTACGTACGTACGTACAGACGGACAAGGGTAAAACTTAATGCCCCCACCGCTACGGCGGGGGCATAGTAAAACAAGAGGCTCTCAAGAGCCTGAATCGCTCACCTGCATTTCAGAGGGGAAGACTATTTTAATTGTTAGCAAACTTGATGAACAAATTGTGTAAAATTGTCTTTAAAGGGCAATAACTCCTTAAGGGGTCAATTGACAATTTTGGTCATATTAACATTTTTGTAGATCTTACTTTGCTGAACATTATTGCTGCTTACAGTTTATATATATCTATAATAATATTCAAAATAATAACAAATAAAATGCTCCGCAGGTCGCAGCTTGATACGACCGCAGAGGTCCAACCCTGAACAGTTGGGGCAAGTATGGACACAACATTCAAGCTTGATACAGCTCTGAATTTGGATTGTGATTAAATATTTGACACAGAATGAATGTGGTCTAAGAACTTAAAAATTTTAAATTGGACATTCACCTATTATGGTCCAATATCCAAAATCTAAATACATGTTTAGATTCAGCATATCAAAGAACCCTAAGAATTCAATTTTTGTTAAAATCAAACTAAGTTTAATTTTGGACCCTTTGGATCTTAATGTAGACCAATTTGAAAACGGAACCAAAAATTAAGAATCTAATTACACGGTTAGATTCGGCATATCAAAGAACCCCAATAATTCAATTTTTGATGAAATCAAACAAAGTTTAATTTTGGACCCTTTGGACCTCAATGTGGACCAATTTAAAAACGGACCCAAAATCCAAAAACTTAATACACGGTTAGAATCAGCATATTAAAGAACCCCAAGAATTCAAGAATAAAACCCCATTGAAATTGGTCAAGAAATAAGCAATTTATACGAAGTATCTTCTTTTGCACAATACTGTGCAATTGAATATTTCTTGCTATTGCGCAATACTGTACAATTGACAATTCTTGCCATTGCGCAATATTGTGCTATTGGATATTTCTTGCTATTGCACAATACTGTGCAATTGAAGATTTCTTGCTATTGCGCAATACTGTGCAATTGAAGATTTCTTGCTATTGTGCAATACTGTGCAATTGAAAATTTCTTGCTACTGCACAATACTTATTATATAATAATTTACACATCCTGTTTGGTGTGTATCTCCTACCATATCATTATTATTGGCTTTTTAATATAAAACAGAAATAATCAACTTAAAATGGAAAATTTTCAAAGAAAAAAAAAAAAGGAAAAAAAAAAAATCCCCCCCCCCAAATTTTTTTAACCCCCTTATGATTCATCACCCCCAAACTTCCCTTTGTGGTACGGTACCTTGCAGTACAATTTCAGAGAGATCCATACACTTGAACACAAGTTATTGTCTGGAAACTAGAAAAATGCTTATTGTTGGCCCCTTTTTGCCCCCTTATTCCTAAACGTTTTGGGCAATTACCCCCAAACTCAATTCCAGCTTTCCCTTTGTGATATGGAACCTTGTAGTACAATTTCAGAAAGATCCATACACTTACACACAAGTTATTATCATGAAACTAGAAAAATGCTTGTTTTTTTGCCCCTTTTTTGGCCCCTAATTCCTAACATTTTGAGGCAATTACCCCCAAAATCAATCCCAGCATTCCCTGTGTGATATGGAACCTTGTAGTACAATTTCAGAGAGATCCATACACTTGAACACAAGTTATTATCTGGAAACTAGAAAAATGCTTATTTTTGGCCCCTTTTTGGCCCCTTATTCCTAAAAGTTTTGGGCAATTATTCCCAAACTCAATTCCAGCTTTCCCTTTGTGATATGGAACCTTGTAGTACAATTTCAGAAAGATCCATACACTTACACACAAGTTATTGTCATGAAACTAGAAAAATGCTTGTTTTTTCCCCTTTTTTGGCCCCTAATTCCTAAAATTTTGAGGCAATTACCCCCAAAATCAATCCCAGCATTCCCTGTGTGATATGGAACCTTGTGGTACAATGTCAGAGAGATCCATACACTAACACACAAGTTATGTCTGGAAGTTACAAAAATGCTTATTTTTGGCCCCTTTTTGGCCCTTATTCCTTAACTGTTGGTACCATAACCCCCAAAATCAATCCCAACCTTCCTTTTGTGGTATTGAACCTTATGGTAAAATTTCATGGAGATCCATTCACTTAAACTAAAGTTAGAGTGCGAAAACCAATGTGTCTTCGGACAACGCCGGACGACGACGACGACGCCAACGTCATACCAATATACGACCGCAAAAATTTTTAGCGGTCGTATAAAAACTGCAAAATTTTGTTAAAACTACCAATTCGGTGGCAGCAACCCAACAATGGTTGTTCGATTCGTCTGAAAATTTCAGTCCTGATAGATCTTGACCAACTGAACAATTTTACCCCATGTCACATTTGCTCTAAAAGATTTAGTTTTTGAGATATAAGCCAAAAACTGCATTTGACCCTAATGTTCTATTTTTAGCCATGGCAGCCATGTTTGTCGATGGATACAAACTTCGGATACAATTTATAAACAAGATACCCTAAGGAACATTTAGTTAAAAGTTGAGGGTAATTGGTCCAGTAGTTTCAGAGGAGAAGATTTTTAAATGTTAGCAAACTTGATGAACAAATTGTGTAAAATTGTCTTTAAAGGGCAATAACTCCTTAAGGGGTCAATTGACAATTATGGTCATTTAACTTTTTTGTAGATCTTACTTTGCTGAACATTATTGCTGCTTACAGTTTTATATATCTATAATAATATTCAAAATAATAACAAAAAACTGCAAAATTTTGTTAAAACTACCAATTTGGCGACAGCAACCCAACAATGGGTTGTTTGATTCGTCTGAAAATCTTAGAGATGATAGATCTTGACCAACTGAACAATTTTACCACATGTCAGATTTGCTCTAAAAGCTTTAGTTTTTGAGATATAAGCCAAAAACTGCATTTGACCCCTATGTTCTATTTATAGCCATGGCGGCCATGTTTGTCGATGGATCAAAACTTCGGATACAATTTATAAACTAGATACCCTAAGGAACATTTAGTTAAAGTTTGAAGTATTTGGCCCAGTAGTTTCAGAGGAGAAGATTTTTGAAATAGTTTACGACGACGGACGACGAACGAAGACGACAGACGACGGACGCCAAGTGATGGCATAAGCTCACATGGGGCCCTTCGGGCCCTGGTGAGCTATAAAGACCAAATCACAAAAACTTTTGCTACTGAACCATGAAAATGAGGTCAAGGTCAGATGACACCTGCCAGTTGGATATGAACACCTTACAATCATTACACACACCAAATATAGTAGACCTATTGCTTATATTATCTGAGATATGGACTTGACCACCAAAACTTGACCTTGTTCACTGATCCATGAAATGAGGTCGAGGTCAAGTGAAAATTGTCTGACAAGCATGAGGACCTTGCAAGGTACGCACATACCAAATATAGTTATCCTATTACTCATAATACGAGAGAAATTAACATTACAAAAAATCTTAACTTTTTTTTCAAGTAGTCACTGAACCCTGAAAATGAGGTCAAGGACAATGGACATATGACAGACGGAAACTGCATATCATAAATAAGGCATCTATATACACTGCATATCATAAATAAGGCATCTATATACAAAGTATGAAGCATTCAGGTCTTCTACCTTCTGAAATATCAAGCTTTTAAGAAGTTAGTTAATGCCGCTGCTGCCAGATCACTATTCCTATGTCCAGCTTTCTGCGACAGATGTCGCAGGCTCGACAAAGATTATATAAACATATAAATATTTCTGAAGGACATCTATTTCCCATATATCGATATAGTATTACTGATAAGTGTTATTTTACATTTTGTAGAATAAAATAAACATTTTAAAGATATGGAAATATTTAACCCATTTCTCTGATGTCAATCTATTGTTCTTACTGTAGATTATTTTTCAAGAATCCACTGACCACAGTATTAACTTAAGAGAACTTAAATTATAACTTTAACCTTTTAACTTACGATCTTTTATCCTCTCAAAAACGAGTGGCATGTGTAGAATTTGAACCCGCGCGTATTTTCTTTATAATCAATACTCTTCAGTCTATGCATGATACCACTAGACCACGATGGCTGACATCAATCATTATATGAATAGTACTCTTAAAGCGCTTAATTTTCAATACATGTCATTTAACTGTATTTCTGTCTCATTGATAATTCACTTTTGTAATCTAATGAAATATATATATATCTTGGTTTGTTCATGTTTATTGATTTTTTTTTTATTTTGTGTGTTATGTTTTTTTTTTTAAGAAATGGGTTAAAACTACTTCTTTGACAGTAAAAACAGAAACAAAATCATCGCCATTATATGAAAATGAAATATATATAATACTTTTACATGTTCTAGGAATAAAACAATATTTTGGTGCAGAAAAAAATTACAATGAAAAAATTTCATTCCGGATACTAGGTTCGAACTTTGCACTGCTAATATCACCGTTATGACATTCGTTACCAACGACTAGACGATCACGGCTATGAACAGCTTGATGGTAAATGAATGAAATCCACATACTTATTCATTGTAAGTCCGTAGCAAGAGCAATTCTGATGGGGATTCAGAATGCGTACCACAGATAAAACTAGTTTATTGACCGGTGAACGATATATGCCAAATGTAATAACGTTAAAATAATCTTAACTTAATGAAACGGAAACAGTTTAAACAAAATTCAAATATAATTGTTCAATTTAAATCGTTAGCACATACTTTTAATACTTATGGAAAGTAACATGAATTTGAGCATTATCATGAAATGGCAGGTTTATGGCATCAACGCTAGTAATATTTATCTGACTAAGAACGGCTTCACGTTGATTAATCTCCAATATACCAATTCAAGTTGCTAAATATTATATAAATACATTTTGAAGGTTCTAAATTTTGGTAATTAAAATTTTTTAACTTTTCAAAACAAGATAAATAAATTCTGTATATTAATATACGTCTTTTTGAATAAATTAAATATACCAAAATCTATTCAATTTAAATAATTTGTAATGATTAAACATTATATGAAATATGTATTATATACAAAAATAAAATCTGGTGTTAAAAAGGGGAGCTAACACCCCATTTAAGTTATTTTAAACTTATGTTAACTTGTCAAATGTCTAAATATAGATGCGAACCGTGTGGATTTAATCATTTCCAGCTATTATAGAATAAAAAAGATAAAATACGAAACTATTTTTATGAGATATTGTTGATTCATTGTCAAAACGTAAAACAGACAGTCGTTTTACTAGAAATGGGTTAAGCTAGAGAATTGATAAGAAGTAGTGGATTCGGAAACGATAATCAACTTGCGACTAAAGTCGCTCGTTGATTATCGTTTACGAATCCACTACTTCTTATCAATTCTCTACTACAGAAATGGACTGTAGTCATATAATTTAAAAACATGTTATCAAAAATTCCATCAATATCTTACTAATGTTCCTTTTAGATATCAAAGACGTTAAAATGATACATAGAGACATCAGTATTTCCTTTTTTACATAAGTCATTTAACATTCTGTGTTTGTAGTCATTTTTATGCTGTTTGATATAATCTAACAACATTAAGCGATCTTGTTAAATGAGTCGAGCATAAAATTCAGCAACTAATGGGTCAATGAGTTTGCAAAAAGAGATAATCGTTTTAAATTAGGAAACTGTAATTTGGAAGTTTTTGAATATTCTTTGTCAGAAACTTTTTCAACCGATATATGTTACGATACAAGATTTTTATCATTTTAATAATTTGTCATTGAGAATGAGTTTTGACATTTGTGAAGTTCTAATCCTTTGTAAACATGGTAAAGAACAGGGTTACTTGTCTCGTTTTAACCTTTTTGACCTTCCTTCTAAAACGATACATGTTTTTCTAACAATTTTACAGTTAAAAAAAATTTAAAGAGTATTTAAGCATTTAATGTAGTGTAAAAATAATAGTAGGTCTAGATCTTATAAAATGAAAATATTATATAAAACAGTTAAATATACATCTATACACAATAATAAAGGTTTAGAAACAGACTACAATAAAATAATGAATGAATTTACACAAAACATGCAAAAAGCAAATCCAATTCTTACACTAAAATTGGGAAACATGTGTTCTTCGGTGATATATGAATAACTTTTAATAATAATAATAACACTCATTCTAGGTGGGAAATGTGTTCAGTAATTGCAAAATTATGAATTAATATAATTTGTCATCATTTGTTAGTTTTCTAAGGAAGTGTTTGAGAGACTGCTGACTGCTGGCAAAAAAAATTTGTAAAGGGCTTCACTGAACCATGTGTCTCTCTTGTGACTCACAGCTGCTATCAGTCTGGAAGTGTAATGTTTACTACCAAAAACTAAGTCCATTTATCAGTTAAATACAGGAAAAAGAAAAAGACAAAAATGTTTAAAAATCTGCTCAGGTTGATATTTCCTGACTATGAAGAAATTAAATCAAATCAGTCCAAGTTATATAGAATACCATCAAGGTTGGAAAATAGTTATTCAAGTTTTAGTATCTTCAACATCAAACTATACCTAAATGTTGACTGAAAATAAAAGTAAGTCCATTCATTTTCCTAAGCTTCTAAGCGGTAAAATATGAAAAACAGGACAAAAAAAAATCAAAATTTTACTCTGAACGGTATTTCTGGATGATGAAGAAGCTTCTGTAAAAGCTTACTGAAAATCTATTGTGTATTGGAAAATTTAACTGTCTAAATACATCCATTCACTAAATAAAAAGTCAATAAAGCCAAAAAACATGGAAAAATTAACAAAAATTTCTTCAGATGCTTTTTTTTTTAAAATGAAGAAGCTTCTGTCAAAAGTATCTTAAAATTCAAAAGTTATGTCTACAAGAAATTTAACTTTAACCCCAGACTGTATAAAATGGGGTGTGCCAAATAAGCTCAATGATAATTCATGTCAACACAGAAGTGCCGACTACTGGGCTGGTGATACCCTAGGTGAGGAAACTTCCAGCTCCAGTAGCTAAGTGACAGTTTTGTAGTGTCCTTACATGTTATGTGAAAATTGTTCATAAAATACTACAACCAAGGTCCTTTTTACATGGAAGATTATATAGAAGAGACACCAAACTAAACACAAATAAGCTTAGCATGCTTAGGGGCCAGTTTACTTGCAGTCACATAATACTATTTTCCCGTAAACATATAAATCAATTTACTGACAAATCAACTTTGAGTAGTTTATCTCATTTCCCAAAAAATATCTGAAATAAATTTTAAAATCTTAAAAAACAAGTGAGTCATCCATGTTTTTATCGAAATGTGTTTGTCCGGTAAAACCGCCCATGCGCAGTAAATATGTATGGAGGGCCAGTTTATCGCAAATTTATGAAAGGAAAAGGTGATCTATTCATTAATACATGTAGACCTCTTATAAAAGGATTCCTGATAATTCAAAATAATTGTTTTAGTCAGAATTACAGAAATGAGTTTTGTAAGCAATAAAATGATTATCGTTAGCTTTAGGAACTGTATTAGATATATCACTAGATATTTTCGTAATAAAAGACTTTTCTTTAAAATTTGACATGCAGTGATGATAAGTACTGTTCCTATGAATAAAATAGCAGACGAAATATTCACGGACGGGTGTACTGGACGGGCGGAATTAGCGGACACTACATGTACTGTCATGACTGTACATGTAAAATTAATGTTCCTGTCACCTTGTATCTGGAGCGATTTTGTGATGAGGCGGTCAAATAAAAAATCGCTCCGGATTCAGAATCCCAAAAGGAATTACATTGGACTAACATTCCAGCTGTGTAACAAAATTACACCTGTTTACAGAAACAAGTCAATATTGACAATAATGACAATATGCCGGTAAAACTTTTGATTAAATGCCACGAAGAGACTATGGTGTCATTGTGACACCCGTTTGAGAGGGAGGGTATGATATGTTACCACAAAAGATCAATAATCTGATAATTACATTGTACTTACCAGATTCTTCAATCTTACCAGAGTCGGAGAACAATTTACAATAAATCAAAACAGGAAACGAGTCATTTCCGGAAGCTAGGTAAAGTGTATAAAAGATGGTAGTTAGACCTAGTCTCGATCATCCAGCCGCTTTATTTTTCAAAGTATAGCGTCTGGATGACAAATGATATAAAAATGGTAATTTATGACAATCGGAATAGTATCGGCTTTTTTAGCTTGTGTTTAAGGATAACGTCCAAGACGAATAACCAAGAAGTTGGTTATTGACTTCGGAAGAAATGACATTACGATAATATTATTGAAAAGCCCGAGTGTATCGATTGTTGTTTAAAGCTATTTATATTTTTTTTGTGACGAAATACAAGTCATGGAAAACACCAGACAGCATGGCTTTCATGGCCGCGAAGGAAAATAACAGCACATCCAATCTTGGTAAGATGATATAACAACACAAACTGTAACATAAATTTCAATGCAACCTGATACATCGAGTAGTTATATTATTTCATGCATGTCCGTGCTATACAAACGAGTTAATAGTTATACAATGAATGGCAATTTTTGTATTGACTGGGACCACTCGAACAGTCGTACATTTTGGGGTTGATATGTAGTATCTTTAACGTTATAAATACTTGATGGAAAAGTGCTATGACGCCGAAATATGACCTTCAAGATTAGTTTGTTGTATCTATCTGTATAAGGGAGTTTGCATCTTGATATGTGTAAAAAAGGGGGAGGAGAGATATACAATGATGTACACATTCAAAGGAGGGAACGCAATCCAAAACCATAAGTAGAAGAAAAACAAACAAAGTGTATCTAGAAGATGCCATTTTGTACATACACCAAACGGTCAAAATGTTTTATACTCGATTTTTTTAAACAAATGCATTTAGATTATACAATACAGTTAAGAAAGTGGGACACGTTGTTATGAAAAGTAATTTCGTTTAACTCATATTTCACTATATAAAAATTTAAATATACTGTTTGTAAACAAAGTCTGGACCGGTCAACTTAAAATAGAAAAACACATTTTTTGCACTTTTATTGCACTATTAAAAGGCATTTTTTTCACACACAAAAAAGTTCATAAATGAATAAAAATGTTGTCAGGGAAGATATCAAGTGGCTATCTAAACCTGCATTTTTTTAATGCTGAACAAAACCATGGCACGAGAAAAACAATGAAAATTCGATTTTCTGCTAAACAATAGACAATAAAACAATAGATTCAGCATCAATGAAATGAGGTGTCAATGAGGCAGCAACCGGTGAACCCAATGACATAAATTACAAAAAGTAGACATCAACATGATTAAGAGGTCGTGATTAGACTAAAACAAAAAGTGAAAAGTACCAAAATGTCAACATTATACAAATAAGGTGATGTGGTATGAATTCCAATGAGACAACTATCCACCCAATTTCAAATGAAATGGATGTGAGCAATTATAGACAACTGTATGGCCTTCAAAAATGCGAAAAACCCATGCATGGTTTGGATAGAGAATAGAAACAGGGAATGTCTCAAAGAGACACCAACCCGACCAAAGAGCAGGAAACAGCCCAATGTCACCAATGGGTCTTCAACGTAACGAGAAAATCTCGCACTCCGAGGCAGGATTCATTTTGCCCCAGGACAATAATTTATACAATATATTTCTATGATGTTTTTTTCAAACAATTTGTTTTTCATATATGCTATGCAGGTGATCAAAAATTACAATGATTTTAATATCTTATTTCTTTTGTAGACAAACCAATGATGATTTCTGGACACAGATTTTATGTGAAAAATGTGAAGAATTAAAAAAAATATATAATGTTCAGGATTTTCATTGTATAATGCTTAAACAGCTTCAATTTTATAAGAACAAGATTCAAAGATTTCTTTAAATACTGAAGCATCAATCAGTATAAATAAATCACAGAACCAAAAATATTGGGTAAACATTATTTTGATAGCAACCACAAAGGGGAAAAAGGTACACAGACGTATATTAAGGAAATAAAACAAAAATCAAGAAACACATTGTTGTCAGATATGTTAGAGAATTAAGATTTGTATTAACAAATTAAAAATCATATAAACAATAAAACAGTTAGTTTTCAGGTTTGAATTATATCTCATTTTCATGTCGGGACCTTTTATCGTTGACTATATGGTATGGACTTTTTTTAATATTGAAGGCCGTGCAGTGACTATATTTGCGTATATCCACGTCATTTGAACTCTGCTGGGTTGTTGCCTCGTTAGCAATAATAACAATCTCCTTATTTTTATATAAAGGTTCACAGGAGAAATTATTGTTCTTGTGAAGCTGTCCTTTATTGCATGCTAATACATGATGGATATTATAATAGTTGGAGAAGTAGAATACACTTTTGAGTTATTGTTTTTTTTACAAGTTACCATGCAGTATGGGATAAATCCCATTCCATCTTCTCCATGTGCATAATACAAACATGCATTTAAATTTCTCGCTGCATTGAAGACCTGTTGGTGACCTTCTGCTGTTGTCTGTTCTATGGTCGGGTTGTTGTCTCTTTGACACATTCCCCATTTCCATTCTCAATTTTATTTAAAGAGTATTGAGTTTCATGAATGAATGGTTCAGTTCTGTATTTCCTTCATAGACGCGGGGTAACATTGGCAAAGTGGTATTGTGTGGAGGTTGGTTCCTAAATATTTTCTTCCCAAAAGGATTAGGCGATATAGATTATTGGTGTAACAGCTAAGAAACATTCAGACTGTTGGCTCATTGTGTGATCTCACTGATCTGCCGGTAATTGTTGTTAAGGAAGTTTTTCTACATTGCAATCTTAATATTTGTATGAGTTGTTTTTCTTTACATAGACGTAACTTGATGTGTGCTTTTTTTGTAAGGTAAGTGTATCAGATATCTGAAGGAATATATAAAAAGGACAGCATAAATTATAACAGAAATTTGCAGAAATGAGAATAATGAGACAAAACTAAGAAAAATGGATAAAAAAAGAATAGAGACTAATGGTGTGATACAATATAAAGAACAGAGAATAGTGGTGTGCTATAATATGAAAAATAGAGAATAATGGTATTTTATAGTACGAAGATAAGAGAATAACCTGGTGTGCTATAATATAAGAATAGATTGATTGTGGGTTGATTGGTTATCGTCTTGTGGTAAATAGTGGTAATGTTCAGGACGAAAAGAAATTAACAATAAATATAAAAAGGAGGTTCTGAATTATTATATAGGCCGTTCGGGATACAGGTCGGAGAAATTATGACTCACTAGAAAGTTGGGGTTTTTTTGTATTGGGGCACACATTTAGCTTTAAGTACAACTGTCCACCTACGGACCCCTCTCTTAGCGCGCAGAGAGCGTGGTATCCTCTATACACGATCAGTGGCGGATCCAGAACTTGTTATAAGGGGGAGGGGGCCGCTACAGTCATGCTTCAGTGATTCCCTATATTATCAACCAAATTTTTCCCACGAAAAGAGGGGGGGGGGGCTGGATCCAGGGTCGTAACTAGGCCTCAGAATCAGACGAGGCAGGTGTTTGGTGCCGCCGACTGAGGCACCCTGGTAAAGGGGATTAAGGGGGCACACCCCTACCTCCCGGCCGAAAATTGCAATATTAGGGGTCGAAATATACCTTGTTACATCCGTTTTTGTATCATATTTACCATTTTTGTTTCACATTTACCGTAACGAAGAACTGCATTAGGCTATCAGAGCAGATTGACACATACTTGCCTCGAATCTTGTTCCATCAAACATGTATCCATTTACAGAAGAGGTTCATGTTTGATAGTAGAAAAAGCGGGACAAGTGTGTGTTGTCAACGCTTCATTAAAATTAACACAAATTTTCAATAACACTTTATAAAGCCCAAAGAGTGGAACCTAGTCACTGTCTGTGAATGCTAGTTCGACCTTTCTTTACCAATTGATTTTTCTCTTTTAAAAAAAAATGTACATGTACAAAATTCAGGTAAAAAAAGAACACCGTTAATTACAGTTTTTAATCGTTTTTTTTTAGAAATTTAAGCTAGAAAAGTAGTTTATGATAAAGTCTTAGATAAAAATCATGACAAAAAAACTTATAAGTACTTTTAATTAACGAAAAAAAATGTCCGAAATCTGAATAAGTACGGCCAAAAGCTTTATTTTGACTATAGATCTTTATTACATGTTTATAAATCACTGAGACAAGAATACGTGTGAAATGGTATTTGAAGCCGTTTTATTTATTTGACATCACGTCTCTATTAAAATTGCCCATCATCAAGTTGGGCAACATAGGGTGAGCTACAAGAATGTCAGTTTTAATAATCACATATACTTTACATACATATACTACTGTTTTTTTTAAATTATTTTGGGGATAACGGAAGTGCTATTTATAGATAAATTCTATATTTAATTATTTGTTACGCCCCCTATAAATATCTGACCAGTCCGGTTAATCACCCCAGACGCTATATTTATATATGCGTCTGGGTAATCGAGACTAAGTTAGACCAGACCCTAGAAAATGTTCCGTTTTTATTTTTAAATATTTTTAAAATAGAATAAAAGAAAATACAAGGATTGGAAAACAAGTAACAAGTCACTTATACAAATTCCTCTCTCACACACACAAAATCGTCAAACCTTAGACTACTATTAAAATCGTACAATAAATGGACGGCAGTTTTACTCAAAACTCCTGTCCTGCCTTTTTTTCAAATTTCATCCTAGCCTCCCCCCCCCCCCCCCCCCCCCATAAAATTTAAATGGTCGCTTCCTTACCACTATTTTCTATTTTTAGCCAAGTTGGGTCATAGTACACATTTTTAAAACTAGATACCCCAATGATGATTGTGGCCATGTTTGGTTAAATTTGGCCCAGTAATTTCAGAGGAGCAGATTTTTTTTAAATTAACGACGACATCGACGTCGGACGACGGACGTCAAGTGATGGGAAAACGGCTGACCAATATAAATATCAAGTGTTTATATTTAGTTTAAATGGAAATTTAACAACTAATGCGGACACTTTGGCGAAAGGCGGAGGAAG